GGAGCTGGGGGCGAGAGGCAATGGGGGGAGATGGAGGGGGGGTGGAGGACAGGGGGGAACCGGCAGGATGGGGGGTACTTACCTCCTCCTGCTGCTTCCTCCTCTGCCTCCCCCCCCTGCGAGTATCGTGGGTCCACCCCTTGTTATCTTATAACTTCAGAGACAATATACTTAAAATAACATCTGAGAATATATTTAAAACGTTAATTCATTCTCATGACATTTTATCTCAACAAAGTCTAATTAAAAATAATAATTACAAGTTTCTCATACATATCAATAGCTTTTGGCCTTCAACCAATACTCCCATCCTTGAATTATATCTTCAGAAGTGAAGCTGGACATCCTTGGAATTCTCAGATGCTTCTACACCTGGCCCTAATATCAGCTATGCTGCCATGGGGGTGGGGAGGTTGGTTGTCTTCTAATTGCCTTTGCATTCCTTCTGTGCTTCTTTGCTGCTACAATGTTTATCTCTAAGTATTGCAGGTGGATTTGTTGATGTCTGGTTTTCTTGGGTACCGTGAGAGAGTGTTTCGTTCCCAGCTTCAGTGCTAAACGGCCGAAGCTCGTTCTCTCGCATGCGAGAGGGTGGCTCATTGGTCGGGGCAAAGGGGGGTGCATACGAATACCCCATATCCTATTATGCCCCATGGGCAGCCATCATTATTAACAGTGCCTATGTTAATGCACCTATAGCTCTTCCATAAAGTATTACCTTTTCCTGAAAAGAAAAGAAAAAAACACCCCGAGGCCACATTTGACGGGAACCCCAAGGAACTTTCCTATTTTGTGGTTCGAGTGATGAAGTTCGTGGAGAGGTCGGGCCACCTGTTCCCAGATGACAGTAGCCGCGTGGACGTGGTAGCGGCACGCTCGCGGGGCCCTGCGGCAGCTTGGTATGTGGGGCTGCATAATGCGCGGGGCCCTGAGCTAGTGAATTTGGACGCTTTTATGTGGGCGTTGTGGGCCCAATTCGAAGACCGGAATGCCGGGCCAAAGGCAAGGGCATTCCTGCGCACCCTGAAGCAAGGCAAGAAATCCATGAGGGAGTACTCATCGGAGTTCATGTTGCACATGGCCAAAGTCCAAACGTGGCCTGATCCCGTGCTGGCGGAATTACACCGAGTGGTGCTGAATCCGGAAATCCGGGAAACGGTCCTGAGAGCGGTGGATCCCGTCTCCCTCCAGGCATGGATGCATGAGGTGGAGAGATCCACCTGAACACCCTGCGCCTGGACATCGCAACTGCGGGAGGTAAGCCTACCCCTTCGGCTCCAAAAGGGAAACCGGCACGGCAGTCGGAGTCTATGCGGGAGCACCGCATGAGCCAAGGGCTTTGCCTGAAATGTGGGGAAAGGGGCCATTTCGCGGCCAAATGCAGTGAAACGGGTCCTGGGAAACAAGGGACGAGCGACCAGGCAAAAGCACGCCCCGTCACCCCGGCCAAAAAGCCAACTGGGAAACCAAAATACACCAAAGCCTTGCAAGCCAACCTGGAGGGATTGGAAAATGATTCCAGCGAGGACGGCCCCGAGCCAGCGGGAAAAGGCTCGGTCCTGCTTTGAGAGGCGCGGAGCAGCAGGGCTCAATCCCAGAGGAGCTTAAAGTGGTGAGCAGCTCCCCCCCCCATTTTTCATGACTGTAACTTTGATTAACCCCAGCCTCGGAACACATATCTAGGTACGGGCACTCATTGACTCAGGGTGTGGGAGGGATCTGATCAACCCCTCCCTCGTTACCGGACTAGAGGCGGGGGTGGTGAAGCTGGAAGACCCTTTGATTTTTACCCAAATAAATGGGTCCACTATGAAGGATCCTTGTGAATATGAGACTGTACCATTGCGGGTTGGGGCGGGGGATCATTGGGAAGAACGGCCATTTGTGATCACCCCAGCTGCCAGATTCCCGCTAGTTCTAGGAGGCCCGTGGCTGCATGGGCATGATCCCTACATATTACGGGATGAAGGGAAGGTGCAATTCATCTCTCCCAGGTGCCGAGAACACCAGTGGGACCCAACTTCGGGTCAGCAGCCGATAGCGGAAACCCCGAGAGTGTGCTTGGCTCAGGACGAACTAATGTCTATCCCCCCGAGTATCAGGACCTGGCCAGAGTGTTTGAGGAGGAAGACGTGGATGAGCTCCCACCTCATAGACATTCAGACTGTAGCATTGAAATCTTGCCGGGCCAGAAACTACCCAAGGGGCGCATCTATGCAATAGGGCCGGCCGAGAAAGATGAACTGCGCAAGTTCATTGACAAGAAACTGGCCTGGGGTTTCATCAGACCGGCTTCGTCTCCATTCACAGCACCGGTCTTGTTTAGGAAGAAGGACGGGGGGTTGAGATTATGCATGGATTACAGAGGTTTAAATGCAGTGCGCATCAGGGAGGGGGACGAACATAAGACTTCTTTCAATACCCCCCTCAGACAGTTCGAGTATCGGGTGATGCCTTTCGGTCTTCAGGGGGCTCCAGGGGTCTTCATGAACTTGATCAATGAAGTATTGCACAAGCATTTGTTCAAAGGGGCCCTTGTTTACCTAGATGATATCTTGCTGTACTCCCCCAACCTCCCCTCCCATGTGAAATTGGTGAGGGAGGTGTTGGCCATGTTGCACAAGCACAAACTGTTTGCAAAACTGTCTAAATGCGAGTTTCATAAAACCCACATTGACTTTTTGGGCTATCGCATCTCGGACCAGGGTCTAGAGATGGATCCAGGAAAAGTGCGTGATGTACTGGGGTGGGGGGTACCCCGCACCCAACGCCAACTCCAATCCTTTCTCGGATTTGCAAACTTTTACAGAATTTTTTTGCCCAATTTTGCCCAGGTCAGCTTACCCCTGATGGACTTATTAAAAACTAAGGGGAAGGGCCCGGAGGCTACGAAGCCGGGCTCAGTATTGCCATGGAGTAAGGAGTGTCAGAAGGCCTTTGAATGCCTCAAAGCATTGTTCACTTCGGAGCCAGTCCTTGCCCACTCCGATGAAAGAAAAAAATTCACTATGCAAACTGATGCGTCAAATGTGGCCATGGGGGGGCATCCTCCAAGAGGGAGGGGATGGGTTGCTTCATCCTTCGGCGTATGTGTCAAGGAAGTTTAATGACACCGAACGGAACTGGTCTGTTTGGGAAAAGGAGGTGGGGGCAATAAAACTCGCCCTTTCCACCT